TTGTATAACATTGTTGACATTTTTCTTTTACGTTCTTTCTTTTAATAAGATTACCCTTATTGAAACGTTCATTACTGGACAGATTCTACAGTTGTCTTGAAACAAATAAGATCAGAGTTCAGGCGATGTCCAATTTTTGTGGCTTGCAGAGTGGGAGAGATACGAGAAGAAACAACAGTTGTTGTTCAAAAATAAAATTAACAACGAAATATCTTCTACAGAACCTTTAGTATAATGATGAATATTACTGTAGTTCCATCTCAATTCCAAAGTGTTATTTTTAACACCTCTTCACGTGTTTCAATCACCAAGTGATCATCTTCAAAAGGAAGATATCACCAAAGCGTTATTTTTAACACTTCGACACGTGTTTCAATCAATCTGTCTGTTTTCTGTTTAAATTCTGTTTTTCCGTTAACCATCTGTCGCACCTCTACGAACGACAACCCTCAGAAGTGTAAACTTGTGCGAGCTAAGGAATAACAGGGTCTTACCTTTTAACGTGTGATTCCTAAGACTATTTGGATAATAGCAAGTGAAAAGCAATCGTTCAGACTAGGGCTTGAACCACCGACCAACACAGCAGTCAATTCGAGTGAGTGAACAAAGCACCCACGTCGAACCGCCTGGCTACCGACCGGTAGCCTGGCTACCGACCTCTTGAAAATGATCACCAAGTGATTATCTTCATCTCTTGAAAATGATCAACAAGCGATCATCTTCAAGAGGAAGATATCACCAAAGCGTTATTTTTAACACTTCGACACGTGTTTCCATCAATCACCAAGTGATCATCTTCGAGATGAAGATATCATCAAAGCGTTATTTTTAACACCTCGACACGTGTTTCAATCACCAAGTGATCATCTTCAAGTGAAAGATATCACAAAACCGTTATTTTCAACACTTCGACACGTGTTTCAATCATTAACTGATCATCCTCAAGAGAAAGATTAAAGTTTAATTCCAGTAATAATTATTTATTCACCTAACCTCAAATCTTCAATCCCAGCCTTGGATTTGTCTGTTGCAATTCCAGAATCCTATTGGTTCTTCTTGTTTGTTTTTCTGTTTCCTTTCTTGTACCTCCTGGTTTTATTTGCTGTTAGTGTTTGGATCAACAAGGATTGTTCTTCTAAAGTCTCTTTCATTTTAATCATATTTTATCTATAGATTACGCCAACTTGATTGGTGTTGCGTCGGGAAGAGTGTTGCAGTTCTCGTGTTTGGGAGCGATGTATGTTTAGTTCTTTTTTTATTTTCTACTATAGAAGCTCCTGTTCAGTCCTTTCTTTGTATAACGTGAAGTCATGTAAGAGTATGACTTTTTTGGTATATCCACAAAATGAAATTGTTTTTTCACACACAATTGGATGACTACAGACTTGATATAACCTCAAAAACTGCACTAGACCGTAATTCCCAACGATATAGTAATCCACTGAGTGAGACAGTATCCTTTCACCTCACTAAAAGTAGTTTCAAATGTGAATTAGATACGTTCTCAGCGCGAGGAAGTGAAGAAAACAATTTTAAAAGTGTTCCATTGTTCGTAATGAGGTAATTCAAGTACCCGTTCAGGAAGTAGATTGTATGGTTTTTATCTTCATGGCCATGAACGCATTCAGTGCCCAGCTGAACGAAGCAGCTGGGCACTGAATGAGTAGCAATTTTTGAAATCGATTTTTAACCCAGTAACTCACGTCTTAAGTATCAAAATGTTGTATAATTTTCAGCTGGACAACGAAAAAACATATTTGAAATAGAAGGATTTTAGACAGGCGGACTTTGGTCCTGAAAGATAATTAAAATGCTGAAAAAGATGCTACAAAAAAGTATCTTTCAACAATAACAAGATAGTAATGATAACATGAAATTTGGCCATGTCAATTTCTCTTTGAAATTGTCGAGATCGAAAAGTATGAACAAAAATTGACGGTTTGTGAAGTGTAGCCATGATAGGAAGGATGAAAATGAAGGAAGCTGAATGTTCAAATTTCGCGGGCTAGGTACATTTGATTGGCGATTTTTTTATGTTGGTACACTCATCTCGAACACATGTTCACAATTTCAGCCGTTTAGTTTGTTGCTGAGACGCATAAAACTCAGAAATGATTTGCGTGCTCGGCGAATTTCTGCTATCGAAGAGAATTTGCACACAATTTTGTGTGCAAAATGGAATTAAGTGCTCAAAAATTTTTGGAATGTTGACAGTGGCATACGGTGATTGTACTCTGAGTCGGAAAAATGTTTACGAATGGTACAAGCCACCGTATTCACCTGATTTAATCCCCTGCGACTCTTTTCTTTTTCCAAGATTGAAGAGGCCCATAAAAGGACGGCGTTTAGCGACGATTGAGAGAGCTCAAAGTGCTTATCAAAGTTACTTCAAAAATTGGAAAAACGCTGGCACAAGTGTATCATATATGAGGGGGACTACTTTGAAAGGGACAAAATTTAAATTCATACATATTATCCATGACTACGAATTGAATTTTCTAAAAACAGAAAAAACGAACATTTCCCGTTTTGAGGTTTTGAAATTTATACCAGTGAAGACGTCACCAAATGTTATACCGGGTGATTCTTCCTTACCGATCCATATAAAAAATGAAAGTAGGTTATGGTTTTTTAGAGACGGAACGTCAAATTGAACATCTGTAAAATCCATCTTGTATATTTTGAAGAGTAGCGATGTTTTGTTTTCCAATATCCTATCGAATAGCGTCAATGAATTAAAACGAAATTGGCGAATTTATTTTCAAATATCTCCGGAACTAACGAAGAAATCCTAAATTTTGAAACGTTATTCAAGCGAGGTCTAAGCAGCAACTTTTTTCCATTAAACCGACTTCGAATCTTTCAGAATTTCCGATTTGGCCAAGCTGGCCCTACTCATCTTGTTACAGACAAAAACCACAAAAACAAACAAAAAACCAAATCCAAATACACTTTAATTTAAAAACTAAAACAGAAAAATGTGTTAATTTGGGCTTCTCGGCCCTTTACAATTCCTGATGTTTAATGATGCTTGCGACCTATAAGGTCATTTGTACATACATAACCCAAATCTAGTGAAGCCCTTCAACTTGCGCTTTCTGCAAAGCTTAATATTTTTAAAGCAAAAGTGCAACTGTTTCAGTGATACAGTTCTAGAAAAGACAACTGCTACTGTCCATTTGTCTAGTTTACTGATAATACCTCAGCCAATATCATCCTATAAGCGCTGTTGCGAAACCTAGATATTCGTCCGTATTTCTACAGATTTTCCGTGTTGCTAGCATTTTTTTGAATATCCGGGTTAGTTGGAGTTGAAACCATTACATGATAGGTACGTTTAGTGAAATATTTTTGTTGTCTGTTACATCTTCTATATATTTTTCACATAATTCGTCTATCTTGAGATTGTTGTGAATGAAAAATGTGAATTGACCGAAGTTGCTGAGTAGTTAAACTAACTGACTTATCTGAAGAATTCAACCATTGGTACATTTGAAAAAAGCTCTTTTCACTTTTGAATAATGTGGTTCATCAAGGTTGCATCCATCATGTACTTTATATTGTCAGTATTTTGAAGACGTGAAGGCTTTTTAGCCGTCATTTTCAAAAGTGGCAATGTGTGGTTTTTCCAATTCTCTACGGAGATTCATTTCCCAATATTTTCAAATACATTCTCACGAATAAGCTATCAATGAAAGTAAAAAGTCCTATCTCTGAGAATCCAACACATCTGAACAATAAAACAGATTTTAAGTTAATTAATGAAAAAATCTGGTTAATGTTCTGGAAAATATTCTAGCACGCCTATGAAGTGAATTTCAAGTGGGATTCGTGAAAATGTAATCTTGCACGTAACGTTAGCTTTTGTAGTGGTTCCATTATGCTGTGGGGTGGCATTAGTTGGGACAGTCGCACCAATCTTATAGAGATGAATTTAAGAATGAAGAGCATGTTTCACCTCACGGCGGCTTCATTGGTTTTCGTACTAATGCATGATAATGTTTGCACATGTTGCAAGAACAGTCACCCAGTATCTTGAAGTTGTTGGACTTTAGGCAGTGGAGTGGCCACCAAACAGTCCTGACACAAATCATATGGAACATATTTGGGACATCGTAAAAAGACATATACGAGCACGAAATCCAGCTCCTAACTCAATTGCAGAATTAAGAGAGTGGAATTGAATTCTACAGGAAGAGTGGAATTGAATTCTACAGGAAACCATCAAAGAACTTTTGCGGAGTATACCCAAGAGGATGCAAGCCATCGTTAGAGCTAGGGGAGGAAACACTAAGTACTGAACTGTTATTATGTTGCCTCAAAGAAAGTTCATTTTGTCGTCATTGTTGCTTGTTCTAATTCAGATCGGTCATGAAGAAGGCTCTCATTTTTTATATAAGCGTGCTTTTGAAAATACGAGAGCTGGAAAAGAGCTGGAAATTTCGCCCCCTAGAAAATTCTAGAACAGTCCAGTCCATTAAATTAATAAATTATACATCTAAATGAAGAAAAGAGAACTGAAACTGTCTATGTTTTTACCACTTTTATTTGTAACTAACGTTACTGCAGTTTCGTCATATAAGGACATTTTCAAACTTATACATCTATCAATTTATACATCTAAATCTTTGTGGAAACTGTATGAAAGTCTATTCTGTAGTATTTCACAATCTTGCTGCAGACTCTAGAGTTTGTAGTACACAAAGAAGTATTTTGGCTGAAAAACTGGAAATCTGGATATGATAGTCAAAACACGTGAACCTGAAACCTAGGAAATGTTGAACAAAGGGCAATAACTGAACTATGGAAAAGGTTGAAGATGTTCAATTATGTATATGTTGGAGTGTCTTACATTAAAGAATATAAGAAATAATAGATACAAGTTAAATAGACGGCTTACGCTAAAGTAATTTGGGTGCGATTGGAGTAGGTGGTCTTAAGAAATTGAAACCCTAAGACCCATAATGTCCTATGTTGAAGAAAAGTCAACAACTACTCACCCTTTCCACCAGTGGTTGGTGTTGAACCCACCGCCGAATATATCACCCAACCCAAACGGTTTCGAATTCAGGTTGAACGACGAAGAGAAATCAAAATCTGGCCCCAGACCTGCTAAAGGATTTCCTATTCCGCTGGCGTCGACGTCTATGATTCCTCCAGGAAGGACGGCGTCGATGGGTTTCTTTGGAGGTTTCGGCTTTGGCGCCAAAATCGGTTTCTGTTCGGAGCTCGAGGGTGCAGGGTCTTTGTAATCTGGTGCTAGGGGTTCTCGGTCTGTTTCTGTATCATCTCCTGGGTAAGCAGCGTTTCTTGATTGGAAATGAGGAACGTCGAAGTTCCATGTCTGTCTGTAAGGTTGCTGTTGGAGGTCGTGGAAGAGGTTCAGGTCACTGCAAAAGAAAAAGGATGAAAGTGATGATGAGCCTTTACTGTTCATTGGAAACAACATGTACATACATTGTAAATAAAAGGGACAATTTTCAACCAGCCTTTCAAGTGAGAAACAGTTCTGAATAGGAGGAATGATCAACAAAGAAAGCTGGGTCTTTCTATTATTTTATGAAGAGATCCGTTTTAATCTGAATTAGGAATTTTCATAACGTCTAGGTCTTGTTTACCACATGATTACAATTTTTAGAATAATATCGTCTTCAAAACCACGATTTCATGAAAAATTCAACTTTTATCATGTTTATTATCTTCGCTGAACTGTTAGGGCGTTGATAATAAGTAGCTACTCACTGTTTGACACATAAATGACTCTCATCTGAAAAAATATATATTCAGAGTATACAAAATTGCATCTGTATGAAGTAGTGAAGTATTTCACTATATTTTCAAATCACATTGATATTAATCAGTGAGAAAGAAGGAATAGGAAGAGATATCCTAGATTAGAACTGTTGAACATACATTTTGAACACATTGAACGTATATTTTGAGCATATTGAACATACATTTTGCACATACATTGAAAATACACATTACTTGTTATATTTTTTCCATAACAAATTATATATTTTTGTTTGTGGATTTTATGTTATACTCAATTTGAGGTATCCTTTATACACGTTTATTTCATAAATGGAAATATCAATATCAAAATGGATGTATTAACTATACATTTCAGGCTCACTTAATTTGTTTTTTCATCAAAGTTTCATAAAAATAAATTTGATTGATTTTCACATTTTCAGGTGTTAATTTCAGTTTCTCAAAAAGACATCCGAATAATTCGGTTCTACAACTTATTTTTCAACTATAGCAGGTATCTATGATCAGTTTTCAAATAAATATATTAGCAATGGAAACCCAAACCTCTGAAGTTCAACAAAAAGTTTGTCAACAACCAATGGAGTTTCACGACTTCCATTCAAAATACGGTATTATTTTTTGCTTGCTTTATACTAATACGGAAGATATCAACTGAAATCATTTCTTTCTTTCGAACACTCGTCAAGGCAAGTAATATTGAAAACGAATTCAATTGTAGAAATGTTTTCCGCGATTCAACTTCCTATGTAATCTTTGAAATATTTATTTACTATCATAACATTCTCACAACAAATCATTGCGTAAGAAGCCAGTAATAGAGTACTTCTGTACAAAAATGTGCAAAGTACTGATGTTTAACGATCTTGTTTCATAATATTATAGAAAGTATAGAACAATTATATCATTATAAATTATTTATCGTCTAAGCATAAGAAAAACTAGCAGCCTGGCTTGTGGCACTGAGAAGTCGATCTTCAGATATATTTATGAGAACACTAATAACCAAAACCATTGATACTGTTATGTTGACAACATTGGAAACGCGGTGAGCGCTTTTGTACCTTTGTTGCTGACAGATGTCAATGATTATTTCGTCCGTAGTTTTTCATGTTCTTGGTTTTACCGATGCCGATGTTTATACATGTGATCATTATGTGATTAATAAAACATAGTTCAATATATTTTTAGGTTTATGTTAAAACCTTGTTGCAACTCGATACCGACATAACATTGGCGACGAGTTAATTGGAACTGTGTCATCCGTAGAACATAATTTTAACCAACGTGTTCAACTATTACAAATGGAACCTTCAGAAAGTAGCTCTGAGGTAGAAGGAAAAGCAAACTATGAATTGCGTCATCCTCGTCGGGGATAAAGTTAACTCCCTCAAGAACTTATTATCGCCTGCGAAACCTAAGGATAAGACGTTTGACGAACTCTGCTCTACTCTGAGAAATCATTACGTACCAGAAGGCATTGAAGTAGCCTAACGTTATATATTTCATTGTCGAAACCAGGGGATAATTGAATCGATTCGTGACTTTGTGGTCGCAATTAAAAAATTGTCGACGACATGTAATTATGGCAATTTTCTCAATGAAGCCCTTCGAGACCAGTTAGTTTTTGGAACCCGGGACTCCGTGGTTAAAAAAGGTTGCTGTCTGAAAAAAACCTGAATCCACCCGCATCAACATGCTCTTGAAGCCGCAAAACCAAGAAGATTTTCTGCTCAGTCGAAAGATGTTACTTCAGGGACATCGTCAACATTAGATAAGAAATGTAATTTTAAACTTGAAAAACGTTTTTCTAAATGCAAAAATTGTGGTAAGTTCCACAGTAGTGATAAGAATGCATGTCCAGTTAGAGATTGGAAATGTTTCAACTGTAACAAGAAAGGTCATGTTGCGCAACGAGCAGCAGTGGCTGAGGAACTAGCATCTCTTGAAAGTAAAGGTATTATCAGTAAGGTAGCACAAAGCCAATGGGCTTCGCCAATAGTGTGTGTCAAGAAGCCAAACGGTAAAATTCGCTTGTGCGTGGATTTTAAAGTAACCTTGAACAAATATGTTGATTTGGATCACTATCCTCTTCCTAAGTCAGAAGACATTTTTAAGTCATTGGTGGGGTCCAAAGTTTTTTGTGAGTTGGACTTGTCAAATGCTTATTTGCAGTTGAAGCTGAATGAAAACTGCAAACATTTTTTACTATCAATGCCCATTTGGGTTTGTATAGATTTCACCGTTTGATGTTTCGGTTGTCAAGTGCCCCAGCCTTGTTTCAGTCAACAATTGATTCTATACTGAGTTAAATTCCCAATACTAGAGCGTACCTAGATAATATTATTATTGGTGGCAAAACTTGGGACGAATGCAGGTTTGCAGTGGAGCAAGTGCTCAACCGTTTGAATAAGTACAATGTCAAGTTAGACGTAGATAAACGTAAATGGTTCAAGACTTTGATCGAATTGCTTGGTTTCTGTCTGGATGGGCAAGGTTTGCGGCCTTCCCCTTCCAAAATTTCAGCTATCCAAAACGCGCCGGTACCAAAAAAATATGTCCGAGCTAAAATCTTTCATTGGATTGATAAATGTTTATCACAAGTTTGTCAATATGTCAGTTGATTTACTGGGACCATTGTATGAATTGACAAAAAAAGATGTACCATGGTTCTGGTCTCAAGAATGTGATAAGGCTTTTGATAAGGCTAAGTCGTCGATTTGTCAGAAATGTTTTCTATTATTGTATGACACTGCACTTTTGCTTTTTAGGCAGTGTCTGTGTATCAACTTTTTTCGAACCTCGGAATTACAGTCACCTCTGAGGATATCATATTATCAATAACATTGGAGAAGTGTCGAACATCATTTGTTGAAAGGTCCTAATTAACCAGCTTTATCTAGTGTGAATGGTAGATCGCACCCAAGACATTTCCTAAGTGTAAAACCAACAAAATTTTGGTAATATTCATGGTAAAATATTGTCATCAAACCGCTGTGGAAATGTGCTCATGCAGGTACCCTCATTTAAAATTTCTAGAACACCGCACGTTTAAGAGGTTGAAATCATTAAGTAATACACGCAGCCGTTACATCAATTGAAATTGTATTTGTTCGTGCAGAGAAAATAATTAGATGCTTTAAAAAAATGAATTCATTGACATGAAATTCCCGTTGTTCATTAAAAACAATGGAAAACCGTTAAAAACTACGAACACTCGTGCTTTTTTCAGATATCAGATTTCAGAGATTGCAATGATCTTGAAGCATTTGCAGAAATCTTTAGCAATCACACAATCAAAACAGTTAATGAAGTACGTGATTTGGGAGTGATAATGGATTCCAAAATGATTTTTAAATCCCACATTGAGAAGACGTTAATATGTGTAATCGTTTATTGGGTTTCATTATAAGAAATACAAGACATTTCTGAAATGCAAAAACACTTCTTAATATATATTACTTTTATGTATATAGTCGTTTGAACTTTGCATCTGTCGTTTGGAGTCCACAATATTCGATTAACCAAACAGAGAATTGAAAGTGTTCAAAATAAATTCGTCAAACAAAGGGACATTTCTATAATCAATGGAAATTTCCGTCCAGTTTTCAAAAAGTATTATTTGTTGTCTCGTACAGATGGAAGAAAAATGTCAGATATATTAATGCTGTACAAATTATTCAATAAACGTTTCGATTGTCCTACGTTGACAACAAAAATTTCATTGAATACACCTTGCAGAGACTTGCGAAACCATCATCTCTTTGCAACCCCATTTAGAAAAACCAATTCATGAAAAAACTCTCCTTTATGCAGAATTGTCAGATCCTTCAATACTTATTGCAATGATATTGAAAAACTGAGGTTACCTTTCCTTATATTTAAAAAGTATGTGAAATCTATTTTTATTTATGATTAGTTATCGGTTCTTCATATACTGTTTATTTAGTTTTTTGTTAATATTCGTTACTATATAGTGTAATGTACTTAGCATATTTTGTTTACTCACTATCTTTCATATGTAAAATGAGGATATTTTTTGGATTTATTCTGT